CATACACATGACACCCAGACCCGGAACAACAATCTGTGGATCACACAAAGAGTTATTCCGTGCGGGAATCGAACCCGCGACACGTTGCGCGGCAGCCAGTTGCCCAGCCACCGCGCCAACCGTGCAGTCGCCAATTCTTCAGCTTTAGCGTCCTTGGTAGTATGGATCAAATGGAACAGGGTCATAGAGAAGGTCATTCCCAATCTTTTTGCTCTAGGAATAGGGGTCCGAAGCTTTATACAGGTGTCCACTGAAGTATGGATCAAATGGAACAGGGTCATAGAAGAGGTCATTCCCTACCTTTTTTGCTCTGAGAATAGGGATCCGAAGCTTAATACAGGTGTCCCCGAAAGTATAAATCAAATTAAACAAGGTCATAGAGGTCATTCCCTACGGTTTTGCTCTGGGAATTAGGGGTCCGAAGCTTTATACAGGTGTCTCCAGAAGTATGGATCAAATGGAACAGGGTTATAGAGAAGGTCATTCCCAATCTTTTTGCTCTGTGAATAGTGGTCCGAAGCTTTATACAGGTGTCTCCAGAAGTATGGATCAAATGGAACAGGGTTATAGAGAAGGTCATTCCCAATCTTTTTGCTCTGGGAATAGGGGTCCGAAGCTTTATACAGGTCTCTCCAGAAGTATGGATCAAATGGAACAGGGTTATAGAGGTCATTCCCTACGGTTTTGCTCTGGGAATAGGGATCCGAAGCTTTATACAGGTGTATGGATGGATCAAATGAAACATGGTCATAGAAAGGGTCATTCTCTACCTTTTTGCTCTGATAGGGGTCCGAAGCTTTATACAGGTGTCCCCTGAAGTATGGATCAAATGGAATAGGATCATAGAGAAGGTCATTCCCTACCTTTTTGCTCCGGGAATAGGGGTCCGAAGCTTTATACAGGTGTCCCCTGAAGTATGGATCAAATGGAACAGGGTCATAGAGAAGGTAATTCCCAATCTTTTTGCTATGAGAATAGGGGTCTGACACTATACATGTGTATGGATGGATCAAATGGAACAGGGTCATAGAAGATGTCATTCCCTACCTTTTTGCTCCAGGAATAGGGGTCCGAAGATTTATACAGGTGTATGGATCAAATGAAACAAGATCATAGAAGAGGTCAATCCCAAACATTTTGTTATGGGAATAGGGGTCCGAAGCTTTATACAGGTGTCCTCGAAAGTATGGATCAAATGGAACAGGGTTATAGAGAAGGTCATTCCCTACCTTTTTGCTCCGGGAATAGGGGTCTGAAACTTTATACTGGTGTCCCCAGAAGTATGGATCAAATGGAACAGGTTCTTAGAGGGCATTCCCAATTTTTTTGCTCTGGGAATAGGGGTCTGATGCTTTCTACAGGTGTCCCCGAAAGTATAAATCAAATGAAACAAGGTAATAGAGGTCATTCCCTACGGTTTTGCTCTGGGAATAGGGGTCCGAAGCTTTATATAGGTGTCTCCAGAAGTATGGATCAAATGGAACAGGGTCATAGAGAAGGTCATTCCCAATCTTTTTGCTCTGGGAATAGGGGTCTGAAATTTTATACTGGTGTCCCCGGAAGTATGGATTAAATGGAACAGGGTCTTAGAGGTCATTCCCTACCTTTTGATACCATTGAAAATACTGAGAAAAGCTCTATTTTCAAACCACAGAGGGGTTCTTCATCATTAGCAGAGTACGCGGTCGCGGCGATGTCGCGCAGTCTACTCTCGCATCGCGATTTTCAATTATTTTAGCATGTCTCACGATATTGTAAAAACAAGATTCTGGTTCTTAACGGTTCGAAAGTTATGACCAGTTTTCGTTTTGTTCAGTGATTTTCCTATATGCTTAGAAGCCTCTATGTTTTGCACTGTCTTTGGTTAAGGTGACACAGGTGTCATAAGTAAAACGTCTATTAAAATATTATGCCTACAAATTGAAATATTTTATAGAATGCATGTTATTTCGATAATATTGTGTTGTTACTTTTAGTTATTTAATTTATAGAATATAAGTGAGGATCGACAGGCTGAAGTAGTAACAATTAATTGTCGATTCTCTGTTGTTATAGGTTTGTATTCCAAGGTTGCTTAGTTTATTATTATTTATTAAAATACTGTTATTTTATTTAAATAAAACTCTGTTGTTATAGATGAATCATCTCGAATCCTCATCTTATATGCTTAAAGAAGCGATAATAAACAAAAAACTATGGGAGATATCAATGTTATTTTTATTCTTAGACTTTCTACAAGAATGGACCTATTTATCACTTTAGATTTACTCGGGTAAAACAACATGCATTTATAAATATTCCGTTCCACGAAAATTGATTCAATTTTAAGTATTTCTTTTGGCGTTTGACCTCTATCTCCTCTGGTAGTAAGCGATGATACGGCCTACGCTGGAGCACGTCGTCCCTTATGCAACCTATTCACTCGGGCCTTGAAGACACCCAGATTACACAGGGTGTCCCTGAAGTCGACGATCAAATGGCACCAGGTGATCAGCCAGGTTCCAACAGTTATCAAAAAAATATTTAAAAAATCCAAATCAGATAGTTTTTAAATTACAATGACTTATGTGAATCCACGAAAAAGTACACCCTGTGCCTATTAGTACGAGAGCCCACGACCAAAACCATGTCTCATAGCAATACGGCAAAAATAATAATAATAATAATAAAGGAATTTATTTCTCTCAAAAAGGTACATACATAGAAACATTATATCACTATTTAAGTTACAATAGGTTCAACCTTTGTGAGAGCTGGAGTCTATACTGGGTTCAAGACCTGTATGACAGATCTCCAGGTTCACACCCGATGTCACAATAATATAGTAGGTAATTATAATGCAATAGAATACAAGCAATAAAAAGAAACAAATTCCGTGGTCTGAGGGTAGACCAACACCAAACCAGAGTGGATTATATGAGAATGGATGATGAGAATGTGTTTGTCAATTGTGAAAATGAATGTACAGTGTGTGAGTGTTCATGTCTTTAGTGTGAGTGTATCTGAAGTTGTGTGTTTGTGTATGTAAGTTGGTGTGCTGTGAAGAATATGTAGACATTACCGAAAGCCGACAACGACGAAGTACCCAACAATGTACCTATGCGAGATTTAAGATAAAACGTGCAGTAATTCTTCAGTGCTATCATAGTCCATGTCAAGAAGCCAGTTCCTGACCGTTTTTTTACATTTAGATTTACACAGAGGATATATGTTAAGTATATTGTTTGCCTTGTTGTATATGTAGCCGCTAAGAAAAGGGAAACTGCGTTGTGCAGATCGACAATTAGTCAAAAAAGGAGGACAAACACTATGCTTACGCCGTTTACCGTCAAACATGGTCGGATCGTAACTAATTTGGGAGTGAGTAGTCAAAAGAATATTCGAAATGAACAATTTTCGTATAGAGAGAACATTACAAATTTTATAAAGATCTGTGGTTGGAAAACGGAAAGGTAGCTTCCAGCCCACTTTCAGGAGTGCACGTTGTGCACGTTCTAGTTTTAAAAGATGTGTTTTAGCAGATCCGCCCCAGGCAATTATGCAGTATTCCATAATTGATTGACCAAGAGCCAAATATACAAGCCGCATAGTATTAGTATCGGCAGCATGACGGAGAGACTTGAATACATAAATTAGCCTCCGGACTCGAGAGGTAAGCGCGTCTATGTGAGCACGAAAAGACAGGCAATCGTCAATAAGTACACCCAGATATCTAATGCAGTCGACACGAGAGATACGGGGACAGTTACAGATTGACCTGTGATGTAATTTGCAAGAGTGTGCTATTAATGGAAGGGAGGGTAAACGGGACTTGCCGGCCTCTGAAAGGGAAAAGGTAAGATATTTCGTTTTATCTGAATTTAAAGTGAGCAGGTTGTGGGTCAACCAATTGGTGACAAGGTCGAAACCACCCTGTGCATGCAGATAAACCGACTCCCACGAGTCACCATGAAATAGCAGGGCAGTATCATCAGCATATGAAAAAATGGATGCATTAGGTATTTTCAGAAGACACAAGTCGTTTATATAAATAAGAAATAGGGTAGGACCTAGGATACTGCCCTGGGGGACCCCGTATGTAATGGGAAGGTCGATGCTAGACCATTCAGCAATTTTAACGCGTTGGCGTCTACCAGTAAGGTAACTCTCGAATAGCGCAAGCTGGATACCTCTGATTCCTATACGCTCAAGTTTAATTAAAAGAGTGGGGACAGATATCGTATCAAACGCCTTAGCTAGGTCCAGGAAGATACCTATGACCCTCTGATGCCTGTCCAAGTTAGAGATGATGTAGTTGGTGAGGTTTAGCACTGCGTGGCCTGTAGAGAGTCCGGAACGAAAACCATACTGAGAGCAGGAGAGGATGCTGTTTATTTCAAGAAACTTGACCAGCCTACTGTTCACAAGCCTCTCAAGTAACTTAGACAGGGTTGGTAAGATTGAGATGGGTCTATAATTGTTAAGACGATACCTGTCGCCGCCCTTGTGTATAGGAAGTACTACTGCTAATTTGAATGCATCTGGAAATATCCCGGATGTAAAGGCAAGGTTAAATATATGTGACAGAAGGGGAGTAAGATAGCTCTTGTATTTTTTGATAAAATTGCCAGATATGTCATCGCAACCCGCGGCACAATCACCTCTCAGATTCTCAATCAAATTATTCAACTCAATATCATCGGTTTCTAATAGGGCGAATGAATTAGGAAAGGAGGTATCGTTGACAGTTGAAGGGCGAGGTAAAGCATGAGATGTAGAAATGTTTTCCGCTAATGTACGACCTATATTTGCAAAGTAGCCATTAACTTCATTAACAGAGTGTGTTGGATTTGTAGCAGATACAAGAGCATCGGCAGAAGATTTTAGTTTGGATGTGTTTGTGATGGATTTAATAGCTTCCCACAGCTTTTTAGTGTTTTTTTGTGCGTTATCTATTTGGTTTTTATCGTAGGCATTTTTGGCAGCTTTAATCATGTTTGAGCAAAAATTTCTATACCTCTTGAAAGTAATTTTTAGAACATCATTCAGAGGTTCTTTTTTTAATTTTAAATGTAAATTGTCACGATTACGCAGACATTTAAGGAGCCCTGCGGTCATCCAAGGCTTGCGCAATCTTTTACGATTCGGTACTACCTTTAGGAAAGAGTTTTGTGCAATAATACAGCTGAGGGTGTTGATGAAGTAGTTTGTAGCATCATTAACTTGTGAGGAGCTATAAACTGGGCTGAAATCAGCCTGAGATATGTCTGAAGTTATCTTGTCATAGTTAAAAACACGTGTAAACTTCCATTTTCTTCGAGAATAATTGCAAAAATTGTTATTCTCGAGAAAAAACAACACAGTGTCATGATCAGTTACCGAAGTATTTGCTATGTAACAGTAAGCAGGTTTTCTCGTTTTCAGCATAAGGTGATCAAGACATGAGGTACCTTGTCGCGTAGGGAGAGTGTGTGCCGGTAACATACCATGAAAAGCAAACATAGTCAGGTATTCATTAGCCCAAGAGTCATTGTTGTTATCCGAAATGTCAATATTAATATCCCCGGTCATTATTATGTTATTATAGGAGGATACGGATTTCAGTACCTCATTCATAGAATCCTCATTCATAAAAACCCTATAAAATCATTAGATTATGTGATTCTGAACCCGACTAGGTGTGTAGTAACGGTCGAAAGTGTAGCAACTGCGTGGGAGGCCATTTCTGCTGTGTCAAAAAAAAGACAGTATTATAGCAATACGTCTGATAGTGAAAATGTTCATAGATTTAATAATTGTATTACGAAAAAGTTTGTTTTCAGACATTTTGCGCGTAGCATAGCCTGAGTGCATTTTTTGAAAACGTCAATAAATTTAGCCGACCTGTATCATAGCAATACGGATAAAGTGCTGCCATGATTACCAAAAACCTGTTTTCAGACATTTTAAGTGTAGCATATACTCCCAAAAACGAAAATAACGTTTCGGAGTCGCTTGGCCGACGCCTCTGTTAAATGTTTTTTTAAATTTACAGCCTTCATAGATATTCAAGAATCTTCCTTGTCTATTATATGTACTTAGACAGATGTCATTACTTATTTCTTTTGTAAAAGTTACTCAAGTGTGCTTTAAATAAAACCAAAACTATCGAATTAAACAGTATTTAATTTCAACAGCCTCAGCGCTTGTTACGCTCCTGCCCCTTTCTTACTATTATATATATTATATTATTATTATATTATTATACAGCTCACTCGCCAGCTGCTCCAAACGTTGGAACGACGCTCACTTAGTAGTCATACGTTGTGCGGTTGTGGTGGTGTAAAATGTCGGACTTGTCCGACAGCGATTGAATACGAGAACATTTTGTAACTTTGAATAAACCGTTTTTTTTTCAACTTCATCCCAGTTTCCTTTTGTGCGATTTATTTCAGTCCTTCACCTTCAATGTTACGGTTTCGAGTAAATTCTTTATTAATTATTATCATCTAATAAATTCAGGGTCGCAACGTATTCAGTGGTTTGTAACAGAAAATTCAAGATGCCTCAATACGATTTTTAAATGATATCTGAGTATCGAAAAGTTGTCTGATAGAGAAGGTGCTACACTTATTTTGTTTGATATAAATTTTTTGCACATGTGGACAACTTATTTTATCATGTCCAACAATTTTCAGACATATTGCCATGATACCGATCGGTAAAATTTGTTAACATTTTCAAAACGGTCTCAAAATGTATTTCGTTCACATTTCCGTCTGAAAATTGTTGTGTTCGCATCAAATAACCAAAATTTACTAATAAAAAAGATTTTCAGACGTATTGCTATGAGACATGTTTTTTGTCTCATTTTAAATTTTTTTAAGTGATTTTACGGGTTTGCGCTACACCACTAACGTCTGAAAAATATGTTTCCGGTATCTCAGAACTATCATTCAACTACAGTTTGGAAATCAGATATATTGCTATAATGCAGTTCGGTAAAATTCTTTGACAAATATGAAAATTCGGTCGGATCAAACGCTACGCGGAAAATGTCTGATATTGGTATTTTCGAGTTCAGGATAATCGTATCTATCGATTTGATGCGGTTTTGGCCGTATTGCTATGAGACAAAAATTTTGGTCGTTGTCTCTTGTACTATATCTTTCGACTCCTGTTGCTATATATTTTTTTATTTTTTCGTCCCTTTTTTTGCTAACGTTGTCCTGAATCGTGCTCCAGTATTGTGGAATCATAAATTCTAAGCCGACCGCTTTAGTTTGGAAAAGAATGTCGCTTTTTGGCGAACTAAATGTTCTTAATAAATTATTCAGATTAAATTAAGTGACTGTACTGAAAAAAAATTGCAAATGACCAAATTGGTATGGAGCGTAGTGCCTTTTCATTTTTTCGCGGCAGTTGATCGGATGTGGAAAAACTGATGCAGAATAATATTACAAACAAAAAATATATGAGGTCTTATATCACAAACACAGTCCAAACAGAGTTAAATCAGTTCAAAGATGTGAAAATAGTGTTATACCTATTATTCCTGTTATTTTGTTGATGGTGACGGTACACAACGCATTTTTTTTTTATAGAATAGGAGGCAAACGAGCAGACGGATCACCTGATGGTAAGCGATCAGCGCCGCCCATGGACACCCGCAACACCAGAAGAGTCACAGGTGCGTTGCCGGCCTTTTAAAAAGGAGTACGCTCTTTTCTTGAAGGTTTGAAGGTCGTATCGGTTCGGAAATACCGCCGACGACAGATCATTCCACAGTTTTGCTGTGCGAGGCAGGAAGCTACGTGAGAACCGCACAGTTGTGGCCTGCCAACCATCTATATGATGGGGATGCATATGCTGTCGTGAGGGTCGATGGCGAAAAGATGCAGCAGGTATCAGGTCAAACAATTTTTCAGAGCATTCCCCGTAGTATAAGCGGTAGAAAATGCACAATGAAGCTACATCTCTACGCATTGCCAAAGTCTCGAGCCGGTTTGAAACATCCGGACATCCAACAATCCGAACGGCACGCCGCTGAATGCGGTCCAGAGGAAGAAGCTGGTACTGGGGTGCCCCCGCCCAAAGATGAGAACAGTATTCCATGTGGGGCCGCACCTGTGCCTTATATAGAAGCAGGCGGTGGGTCGGGTGAAATACTGCCTCGATCTATTGAGCACACCAAGCTTCCTCGAGGCTAATTTGGCCTTATCCTCGCAAAACTGGACGTCGCTCGAAATGCTGACACCAAGTATTCCAATACCGGCTGAGGCAGTTAAGGGGGTGCTTTGAAACTGAGGAGAGACGACCAACGGAATTTTCTTAGCGGTAAACACGCAGACTTGTGTCTTAGTGGGGTTAAACTGGACCAAATTAAGTCCACCCCAATCAGAGATTCTCCCTAAAGAGGTCTCGATTTCAGACACGAGTCTGTTTCGGCTCTCTGTGAAGTTTTCCCTAGAAATGTTAGCGCGGCCGGTGTAGTAGGCATCGTCTGTGCTGTCATCCGCATAACAATGATTTGCAGCATGTCATTGATATGGAGGAGGAACAATGTAGGCGATAGCACGCAGCCTTGAGGGACACCTGCGTTTACAGACATCAAGTCAGAGCATTCACCGTCGACAACGACTTTAATGCTTCTGTCTGCAAGGAAGTAGGAGACCCATTTGCATAATTCGCTGTCGTTCGGTCGCGTGACACCAGCCATGGCGTCTAAGTTGTTAAAATGCTCGAATTGCAATATAGTTATCAATGAGGTTCTAGCCTTTGTATGTAATAAAATCGATGTGATGGACGAGGAGAGTATTAGCCATATTTGTGTGAGTGCATTTTCTGACGAGGACATTCAAAGTGCTAAAAATCTACTTTGCGAATCATTACCCACGGAGAAGCGTAAGAAGACAAGGAAGAGAGATGGGAAGAAGCTACGTGAAATAGATGACATCATTTGCATGCTGAAGGAGTCCGATCCTGAGGTTTTGCCGGTTTTTGTGGCTCGTGAGCTGCAGAAACTACCGCCGGTGCTCTTTGATCATGTCGATGTCACTAGGATTTTAAAGGATTTAGTGCGTATGCAGCAGGAGATGAATCAGATAAAAGAACGGTATGTCATTAAGGAAGACCTAAATACTGTGAAGTCTGATCTTGAAAACTTGAAAAAGGCATCTTTAGTGAACAATTTCAGAAGTACCGTCAGTAATGTCAACATCAACAAAAGAGGTGGCTTTCTGCTGGATAGTCCTGATGACTACTGCAGCGGTCCAAGGGGGCTTGACTATATGGACACTCAACATGACTATGAATATAAAGTGTGGTGTACCATTTTAGAATCCTTATTAAATGCGCCAACTTTGGTGAAATCCACTACTACTGTAGTGCAAATTTTTTCAGTACAGTCACTTAAAGTAAGATGAAATATTTATTAAGAACACTTGTTTCGTTAAAAATTGCCATTCTTTTCCGAACTAAAGCGGTCGGCCCAGAATTTATGATTCCACTATACTGAAGCACTATTCAGGATAACGTAAGCAGAAATACAGACGAAATAATAAAGAATTGGAGCAATAAGAGTCAAAAGACTGGCACAGGGTGTACTTTTTCGTGGTAATACATCATTGTAATTTAAAAACCATCAATCTTAGAATTTTTTATATTTCTCTTATCACTGTTAAATTGTCGATCACCTCAATTCGAACATTATATCTTCGACTTCAGGGTCACCCTGTATTGACAGTTGGGTAGTTTCCAGAGTATCAAAATTAAAAATCTAATTAGTCCGTCAGTTAGGTAATGAAAAAATATTAGACACGTATTTTTTTTCTTTTGTCGTATTTTTTTATTTATTGCAATACTTAGATAAAATGGCGCTAAGTTTAGGAGTGGGACAACCGACATTTCAAATTAATATATCGTCGAAAGTATTTCATTTTGTAAGAAAAGAACAAATACGTGTCTAAAGTTTTAAAGTACCAGACCGACATTAAAATATAATTTAGGAAACTACCCTATTATAAGCGCATAACTCCCGAACGATTTAACCAAATTAGATAAATCTTTCTGCATTGGATAGTCTCTTTATCGAGGAAAGCTACAGGCTATAAAACATCACGCTACGATAAATAGGAGCCGAGCAGAAGTAGTAAATGAATGTGAACTCACCAGCTCTCTCGTCTGCAGTATGGGTCCGATCATGTGCGGCCAGTTCCGCATCGTCCTCGAAGCACTTCCGACAAACTTCACATCGGACTGTCATGGCGCCGCGATGGGCCTCGGCTCTGGTTGAAAATAAATATAAATATGATGTGATGAATACATGAGAAAAAATGTATATTGAAGATAATATAGAAATGGGAATAGTTGGAAAATAAAATATTAGGGGGCGTCCATAATTTACGAGCGGTGTTTTTTTTATTTTTGTCCCCCGTCCCCGTCCCCCCCGGTGACATTTCGTGACATTTTATTCAACACCCTCCCCCATCCCCCAATATCACGTGAGATTTTTCAAAATGTTAGTTTTTCACGTAAACGCGTTGGATTATTGTAAAAAAAATTTGTTTCGTGCTTTTATTTACGACTAGTTAAGACTAGTAGATAATAAATATAGCTGATAGTTATAAGTGTAACAAAAATGTAGTAACAATAGAATACTACACGTATAAAACAAATGCGTGTACAATTTAATCTGAAGCATGTACCATCTGGATAAAATGGACTAAAATAGTATGTTTATTTTGTTTCAATCAGAAAAATTACGTGATATTTGCCGAGTCCCCGCCCCTCTCTCCAACGTAAGATTAAACGAGATTTGAGTCTACCCCCGCCCCCCTTAAACATCTGCGGTAATTTATGGACGCTCCCTTACTTATGTATTACCTCTATATATACACTATGCAATCTATTTCGTTTTCGTCTCGCGGCAAAACAACTTACGTATAAAAAATAAAGAACCCATTTTTTGGTTTAAAAAATATTCATGGACTTTTGCGTATAACAAACTATATGTATGTGCCTGTGCACTATTCGCATCTCACGTGCCACCCGACGAGAAATACTTCTTCGACAATTACATGGCGTGATGTTTTGATAATGTACTATGAGTTCGTATGCGCTTTCGAAGTTAGCTTTTTGCAATGGTTCACCAGTTATTGTTTGTTTTAAACATTTTATTTCTTTGTAAAATTATTGTATTACCAAGACAATAACCACTTCGAGAGGAAACGAAAAAAAAATTACGATTTACTTCGAGACGAAAACGAAATAAATTTCACGGTATATTTGGGTAATGCGCATTCACTAAATTTTTATAAAAAAAGAAAAATAATGTTCTAAGATATCTAAAAAGACCGCGCCTAATATTATAAAATAGACAAAATACAATAAGTCTATTCTAAGTCTATTCAATAGAATAGACTACGTTGCTGAGTAAAAAAATTATGTAAATCTCTAAAATAGCGTTAAGATAGCAACACAGGTAATTAAAACAATCAGTCTACTAAACAGACCTGGGTTTTTTTAAAAGAAGATCACCCTATTCGATAAAAGACCAAGATCTGCTCGATAAAAGACTAGTCTTCTTACAAAAAGAAATTTCAACTAAAGACCACTATATGCACAACATAACCGAATCTTATATATTGATAAACACCACGGTCTTCTCGCCAAAAGACCACACGGTCTTCTCAGTAGACCGTCTTCTCAATAGGCCGTCTACTCGGTAGACCGTACACTATTATACTCACTTGTGTTCCCATAGTTTCTCACGACGGTTAAATGTTTCACTGCAACAATCGCATTCGTATCGCTCTGAAGAACGTGCGCGCGACCGCGAGTTACCACCGCCGCGGTTTTGATGGACGCGGCGATGTATTCTGTGGACAAAAAAGGAATAAATAATATGGTAAACTATACAGATAAATGAAATTGAAGTGTCTGTTTGTAATATCGAAATAACCGCTTTTTACTACATACAAGTTATGTTTCTACCAGCGACAGAGGGTGCAAATGGAAACTATGATCATTTTACTAAAGGACAATGCCAGGTGCTCAGTACATCTTTGACCCACTATATTAGACGTCATGTACAAGTATGCACTATTCAGCATCGTGTAGTGTATTAATTACCGATACCTAAACATTTGTCCTGAAACCTGTAAAACTTGCGGTTTTTGTTTAAAACACAAAACAATAATGATAAATAACGCGAAAACAACGGAAACGCAGAAAGCGAATGAAAGTCGAAAGATAATATTGACACTGACAGCTGACAACTGACAAGCGCTTCAAAACGTTTCGTTACACAAAAAAATTATAACTAATGATAATAATCGTTTCTTTTATATTTTCGTGATTTCATCTGTAATCATTAATAAATAAATAAATGTTATACATAATTATACTTTTGATATAATATTTTATGTATAATAATATCTTTTTTACAGTTACTTACTTTTTTATTTTCATAATTTCGTACAAGCAATGCGTATGATGTAACGCAAATAGTCAGTGGACAATATGGAAGACGCATTGCAAAAAAGTATTTCCGGGATTGAACTTCTTTTTTTATTAGATTGCAAACCGCAAGTTTAAAAATAAAAAGAGATATTGTGAAAAGGTTCCTTATTCGTCAAAATTATTTTCATCAATTTACTTATTTTGTAAATGATATTATGACTGGGTCAGGATCTGGCATTATCATTTATTATAATTAAAATTACATGATAATTCCTAAAGTCTAACTAACCTACGAGCGAATGCGTTCGATATTAGAACGACACTGATTTCTTCTCTTAAAATTATTTCGAAAGAAGGTTTTCAATAAATCCTATTGAGGTTAAATTTAGTGGGGTGATTGATGATGCAGCGATTCGCAGCTGGGCACGAGGCGGCGACATGAGGAGACGACTCAGCAGTTTAGGTGTTGCAATACTTCGTTGCATCAAAGTTGGTCTAACGTCCTGATTCAGCAGATATGCTCCTCGTGGCACGGCGTTGATCACGGTGTAGGTACATGTGTCGGCACCGATACGTAACATCTCCACCCTCAGAACAGCAACTATTCGAAGACTAACGTTGAGAATAGTGCTGATCGCTATTCCGTGGTTTGTCCTTTTGAGTTCTTCGATTTCTCTCTCGATTTTGCAGATAGGATGGAGAACGGGTGTTCCTGTCAGACTAAATTTTATCAATTGAAATACACCTTTCCGATAGTAGCGATAAATTTTAGCTGACCAATTGCTTATGTGCAACTTCGCATTGTTGACTGTTCCTAGCATTTATATTTACGAAGTGGCTAAGTTTGTGAAATATCATAGTTATTTGTTCGTTGCTAACGATAATGCTAACAGACGCTTGATCACTCAGCTGCCCCTGAAAATGCCCATCCCTAAACTAGAGCTTTATAGGAAAAGTTGTGCATATATGGCGCCGCTCATATTTAACTGTCTACCCCGAGGAATTAGCGAGCTGCCATATAAACCGTTTTGTCGTGCCTTACAAAAGTGGTTGGTTCAGGAGAGTTTTTATTCTACCCGAGACTTCCTAAGTAACAGCAGCTGTAGGTATGCAGCTTTTTAAATCATTGTATCATCGTGCTAATCAGTGCCTCCATGTTTTTTGACCAAAATTAATTATAAATTTCTCACCTGACTTCCTGTTTTGCTATGACAATTAATTTATTGACTTTTTAGTATATTAAAATTTGACTACAATATCTGATACATAATTTCTTCATGACATCTTAATTTTATTGACATTCCTAATTTATTTTCTGACTTTACCTGTTTTAATTTATTTGAATTGTTATCAATAATAATAATACTAATTTTAATATAATTGTTCTTTAATTAGACATAAATTAATACTGTTATTACAATTTTATATTTCTACACCGGTAACGGTAGTATGTGTGGAACTTTGTTAATTTTAAGATCTGTGTGCACCATGTACTGAGAAATAAATGACATTCATTCATTCATTCATTCATTCATTCATTCATTCATTCATTCATTCAATGATGCTACTTACTTGAGTGTCACCCTCGTAGAATACCATTTGGAGCAGATATGACATTGGAAGCTTTTGTCAGCGGATTCATTCTCGGATTCGCTGATCTCGTCGTGCGAGGTCGGTGCCGCCGGATCCGCTGACCGTTCCGGATCAGAGTCGGATCCGGTCTCCGACATCGCGCCGCTGTTGGACCATTCACCAAATGATCTGAATACAGCAATTTGGTGTATAGAAAGAGTTAGTTTTTGAATTGTAGTCAAATTATTTTTTTATTTAAGTATATTGTAAATTGTACAATCATCCAAATTATTTAGTATCCTGGTAAAAAAATAAAGATTGATTCAGTACAGACAGTAGCCATTGTTATACCGAATTGTATGCTTTGTAACGAAGCCATGTCTTCTGTAACTCAGTCGGCTCTAAACAACCAATGGTTACTGTCTCTGTACTGAACCAATCTTTGTTTTCTTACCAGCAGCTGTAGCCAAATGCCACTTAGCGCTCGTCTACATGTAGAATAGAAAACCAAATTATATGGGATTGACGTAAATTTTGACACTTGTCAGTGTCATCCCCATACATTTTGATTTCTACTCTCTCTGTAGACAAGCGCTAAAGTGACATTAGGCCCTGGATACAAATATCTTGGTTGACTACTGGAGGCCTAATTCTTCCTTCTTCCTTTTTAAAACCCGGTAATCGAACCCGAGAACCCCGGCAGTCGCACTTTTTTTTTTGAGGGGGAAAATCATCCAATGACTTCTCCTCCCGCCCGGGTGAGGCGGGAGGGGGTGTCAGACTCTTACTGACTAAAAACCACCCCGTTCCTACTCCTGCACTTCGAGCCGGAGCCCCGGCAACCCGTTAAGTCTTCCGCGACTCCGTATCGGCATCAGCCCTGTTAGGCCCCATCTGTGGTGGCCTGATGGCTCCTTGAGGCGTGTGCGGAACGCGACGCGCCGTACGCTCGGGCCTGGTTCTGGTCGGGCGGCGAGTCACCCGTGCTCGCCGTCCGCAGGCCCGTGAACGCACTTGCGACCACTCGGCCAACGAGGCAGTCATAATATATTATGGAAATAAATACGTTAATGACTCACCTATCATCGTCATGGACCGGATGATCAGCGACGGGTTTAGGTTCAGTCTTAGGTTTCTCGTCGCCGGACTCGGACTCACTGTCAGAACTGTCAGACGAACTGGACGAGTCTGAACTAGACGAACTCGATGAGCCTGAACTTGAACTGCCTGTAATTAAGAGTTTTTTTGTGTGAATAATTATGTCTTTAACCGGCTACAAAGGAGGAGGTTCTTATTTCGGATGGTATATTTTAAATGGGGATTTTGTCTTGGGTATTTCCGAACCGATATCGAGTCGTAGAAATTACTTAAATTAATCGTATTTTTTTTTTCAAATTACCAATTGTTTTTATTTTTACACACCAAAATCTTTTAAACCGATTTCGATGAATTTCATCACAAAAATAGTACCTAGTTGACACTGACATATCGAATGGGCAGGCTCGACCGGAGTGATACCACGGCCTAACCGAAAACCGACGTGAAACGACGCTTGCATTGTGTTTCGTCGTGTAAGTGAAGTTATCGGAGGCCCAATTACCCTCCCCTTCCCCAATTCCTGAATCCCCAACGATCCTCAAACTCTTAATCCCCCAAAAGGCCGGTGACGCCTCTGGTGTTCCAGGTGTCCATGGGCGACGCCGATTGCTTACCATCAGGTGATCCGTCTGCTCGTTTACCGGCTTATGCCATAAAAAAAAATTACGTGTGTCATGACGAGTAATGTTGCCGCACTATATCCCTGCCTTCTTTCCTCGTTACTTCCCATACCACTCGACGAGCGTGTGGCAGGCGCATTACGTTTAAAGTGATCGAAACGAGGTCGCGTTGTGCGCTCTGATTGGCCGGCGCCAATGAATCGACCAATGAGAGGACCAAACGTGATCTCGTTTCGATTTTACATAATAAAATAGTACAAGATGATGTAGTATATGTATCTATGAAGATATTAGCTGATAACTTACTGCTCCGTACATGACGGGCTCCAGAGGTGCTTTGGGAGGGAACCGCACGACGTTCTGATCAAACAATAATCATACAATTACACTTTTTGAAAGTCAAAGTCAAAGTCAAAGTCGAAGGTCAAATGTCAAAGTCAAATGTCTGGGTGTGTGTAGGTAATTAAATAAATGGTAAGGTTAATCGTAAAAAAATTACAATGTGAAATTAAAAATGAAAACTGAACCGTAAAATTAAATTTTATCAAACTGAAAACGTCAAAAAGAAATCGTAAAGACAACTTCATAAGTGTTTTAGTGGGAAATGTAACATGTTAGACAATGATAAATCAAATGTTAATGTTTAAGTCAAAATAAACTCAAGATAACAATCAAAGTCAAAATTACAGGGAAAGTCTTTATTATACGTTAAGTTCAGATTAAACATCAAAATCAAACGTCAAAGTTAACATCAAAAGTCAAAGTCAAAGTGGATATAAAAAGAAACCATGGCTCACCGGATCCGGAACTACTGCTGTCCGAGTCCGAGTTGGAACTGTCCTCCAGCTTCTCCACTCGAGTCTCCATCTCTTTGACTGACGCACATCCTGCGAACAAAGATATTTTGATAAACTAGCTTCTGGCTGCGGCTTCGTCCGCATTCTCGTGGGATAAAAAATAGCCTATGTGTTATTCCAGTCCATAATCTATCCCTGTTCCAAATTTCAACCCAATCCCTTCAGCCGTTTTGACGTTAAAGAGTAACAAACAAACAAACACACAGACACACACATGCATATTTATGTGTGTGTTTATTTTTATGTTTATTAGTGGAGAAATTTGGTTCGCTTAAATTTTTAAATAGAGGTGCAGTAACAAATTCAAACCTTCCGAGCTCCTGACGGAGAGTACTTCATCGTCATCCCTGCGCTGTGAGTCGAGGGGTTTCTTGAAGTTCACGGCCAACAGGTGAGTGTCGTACAGATCATCCTACAAAATATAAAAAATAAATATAAAAATAAGTATTCTTTTTTATTTTATTAAAATAATTGCCCCACACTAGGATTTTCTCGCATGTCGTGGGTGCGTTTACAAACATACAAGTTCACATACACATCACACCCAGACCCGGAACAACAATCTGTGGCCCCATCAGTAGTGATCTGATGGCTCCTTGAGATACTGATGGCTCCTTCGCGTGAGTAGAACTTACCTTATCAATGTTGGCGTATTTCTCGTGAATATGTCTGAGCGCCCGGAGGTTCTCGTCGAGACTGAGCGAGTCGGACGCCTGGCTGGGAGACCCTGTAACAATATCGTTAATCAACTATTTAATTTTGTGACTCACGGAGGGTAGACACTATATATCTTTGCGATATCAATACTAAAACTTGTTATGCACAGTAGATATAATGAAATGAATCCTTTATTTGTGATAGGTACATTTGACATAACATCACGCCTTTTATCCCCGAAGGGGTAGGCAGAGGTGCACATTATGCCACTGTACAATGTAACACCCACTTTTCACTATTAATGTTACGAGTCCCATGTAATAGGGGGTGAGTCTATTGCCATATACCGGACACAATTCCAGACTCCGTGCTACTACTGAGAATTTTACATTACAGGTGTATATTGGTCATTTTTACGGACGGCGCCATTCATATCTGCTCTGTTAACTTCTTTCGTTACTTTACTTTCAAAAATAAATAAATTGTTGATTTTTTTAGGAGATAGACCGGTAAACGACCAGACGGATCACCTGATGGTAAGCAATCGACGTCGCCCATGGACACTTGGAACACCAGAGGCGTTACAAGTGCGTTAACGGTCTTTTGGGGATTAGGAATTTGAGGATCGGGGAAATTGGGGAATCTGGAAAAGTACCCGGATAAATATAATAGTTAACTAACCAAGATCCGGTTCATCGTCGCTGTCCAGTGTAATCGGTTCAGACACTTCAGGCATCAGGTTATTTCTTACACGTATCTCTGAAAAATTAAAAAATAATCATAACATCACGCTTTTTATCCTCGAAGGGATGCACATTACGGCACTTAATGCCATTGCACAATGTAACACCCACTTTTCACTATTTATGTTACGAGTCCCATGTAATAGGGGGTGAGCCACAATTTCAGATTTCATACTACTACTGACAATTTATAAAAAAAAAACCAGTAATACTTTGCCCGACCTAGGAATCGAACCCGAGACGCCTTGCCCGGTAATCGCACTTGCGATCACTCGGCCAAAGAGGCAGTCAATTCACTCGGGCCTTGAAGACACCCAGGTTATTAAACCATTCAGGAAATACTGTTGATATACAAGGTGTTGTTTTAAAGCCGCGTCATTATCTAGGAGGTAACTCGGCTATAGATTCTGAGTCCGAATCAATAAAAAACATTGTAGGTAAATATTTTTCATTTTTCTGTAAATTACAGATATCCGTAAGTGCGAACTACACGCCGCCGTCTTGTAACTAGCTTCATAACGCGGCTTAACACACACAAACTCAAACACGTAATTGATATTATTCCTAATTCCATAAAACTCCAATAAGAGACATTGCTGTCGCTTATTCTGAAATACTGTCGAACTTAAACGATTTATTATAGCCGTATTTTTAACTATTGGCCCGAAATTTACTCTCACATTGAACCTTTATGACTTATTTTTTTTTTATTATTATTACTGAAAACTCAACAGCTTATTTAGTAAATGCTACATCTATAATAATGACAAGGCATGGAAACTTAAGCCAATAACAGAGTTTTTCAGCATGCGTTAGGTAAAAGTAGGAGAGTGACCAATATAAAATAAAATTAAACAATCAAGGACATTTTTTTATAAAGCAATAATTAAGAAAAATAATAATGTTATAAGAGTCACGCACTAGTGAGTATTTGTATAAGCGACTTACGAAAGGATACCTTTGACAAATTAAATATATCCACACTCTCAAACTTCTCTGTGTAAATGCGAGGTAGTCGAGTCATAACAGCATTTTTCCCATAATTCGTACGATGTGAGGGTATACTAAGCAAGTGAGTATGTCTTGTTCGATACCTGTGCGTGCAGAATTCAACGCATGACAAGAGATCACTGCTGTCTATCCCACCCCGCAGGATATCATAAAGAAGGAGCATGTCCAACATCTGCCGTCTGTCATCAAGTGGCAATAAGTGGTAATGTTTACAATCCGTCTTCTTCTACTTTCTACTTCTGTGACATGCCCCCGAGAAATGACACGGTTTCAAAACTACACCTTGTATAGTATTTAGGTTTAAAAGTTGACTTACTAGGTTGCTGTTGCACTTTATTGTTTGCAGCGAGCTGGTCCACCTTCCGTGGTCTCCCACGCTTGCCTTTCACACGTTCCGTCGACGGATTCTACAGAAAACACATACATAATTAATAAATATTTTAACTCGTCGAGTACCGTCATTATAGACACAATTATAGAACAATAGGTTGCGGTCACCGGTGATCGCTTGGTGTTTGACAGTTTAATATTGATCATCTATACCAGTGATTCCCAAAGTGGTCCAGGTAGACCCCCAGGGGTCCACGGTTGCGCAACAACCGGCTGCCTAGCAACGTGTAACGGGTTCGAATCCCATGCGAAGTAACTCTTTGTGTAGGTAATCCACAAATAGGGTAGTTGCCAGGGAATGAAAATTAAAAATCTAATTAGTCCGTCAGTTAGATAATGAAAAAATATTAGACACGTATTTTTTTTCTCGTATAAAGTTACAATACTTTGATAAAATAGAGTTAAGTTGAGCAGTGGGAGGTCGTTACGTCACAAAGTGCTACAACATTGTGACGTCACACGATATATCAGATTAATATATCGTCGAAAGTATTCGTTTCTGTACAAAAATAAAAAATACGTATCTAATGATTTCAAATTCGATTGGTTCGATCTGTTTACAACTAGTGTGAACTCGGCAAAGAGGTGCTTAAGCCTCAAATTTTTTAAGCAGCACTAGATGTTTAGTTTTTTTATCGTTTCTCTTGATCTGTTCATAATCATTGTCTGTACGGTCTGTTTCAATATTTATTTTTTTCATTTACGCAGAATGTATGTATTTTTGATATTGTATAGTACTCACACCATATTAATTAACTCGTCGAGTACCGATTTTGTAGACACAATTATAGAACAATAGGTTTCGGTCACCGGTGACCGCTTGGTGTTTGACAGTTTAATTTATTTCAAATGTTAAACGTGAGGACTTGTTATTGGCTAATTGTTACCTACGCCTATTGTTATTTTTATACATTTTTATATGCTGTAAGTCCTCCATGAATTATAAATAAATAAATATATAAATAATCTACCAGATGGACATTAAAATTCAGATTAGGCATCTACCCTATTGGATTGACATTGAGATTGGTTTCAAGAGTAAGCACCCTCGTTTTATATAGCTGCATGAATCAGGCAATGCAAAACCAGTATAAATTTACCTACAAATGTGTAGACTGATCAAACAAAGCGAGGGCATGATATACTAGAGGTTGATAAATAGTACTTACAGCATCTTTCTTAGCACTCGGATTCCTCTTCGTGTATTTTCGTTTCGTACGAGGCGTCGTCTCTCCAGCAGATGACGAAGCCGCTGAATCTACAAAAATAACAATTAATTATGGACCTTATCATCTAGAAAATATGTCCTATTGGCTATGTGCGCGACGGTGGCGACGCGTAGCGTTTACAACATTTGCGGAAGCTATCAAATAAATATACATTATAATAATAAACATTGTAATTTTCTTTGCAAATATAATAAAACCAAAGACTAAAATAGTATTGTTGACATTATTTAAGTGCAATTTATTCAATAGTTTTACTATAAAATGAATATAATAATAAAAACCGGGTTTGCATCATCCGCATTTGTTTCCAATTTCTGCCGTGTTGTGCGCTGCGGTCATTATCTGGCCGCCACTACTCGCTTTGCACATAGCCAATAATGCGTTGATAATGATCAAGTGAATTAATTATTATGTTTACGGCTTTCTCCCGTAACTGTTTGACGAGGAACTTGACTACTTAGGACTGTCGCGATGCTAATCTAATGCTGATTGCTGCTGTCAGAAGCGCGATAGTCGCCGCGTCGCGTGTCGCGGAATACTGCTCATCAATATGAGCCTCTAGCATGACTTCAAACTAATCTAGTTCCTCGTCACAGTTTTTATTAAACGAGCAGACGGATCACCTGATGGTAAGCAATCAGCGTCGCCCAAGGACACCTGGAACACCAGAGGCGTTGCAAGTGCGTTACCTGGCCTTTTGGGATTAGAAAAGTATTGGGGATTGGGCCTCCGATAACCTCACTCACACAACGCAAGCGTTGCTTCACGTCGGTTTTCTGCTCGGCCGTGGTATCACTTCGGTCGAGCCGGCCCATTCGTGCCGAAGCATGGCTCGCTCACTTACGTGAGTAAGCCGAAAACATAATAATTATATAAAAAAATTGGTATGCATAGATACATTTAGAATATTACCATGCATAAATAATACAGTTATCAAAAAAAACCAATAAACATAATCATATCTATACTTTTTATAACATAACGTCACGTCTTATTCTCTGAGGGAGAAGCCAGAGGGCCTCATAAACCATTGTAACCCCCACTTTTCACTGTTTAAGTTATGAGTCCCATGTAATAGGGGGTGAGTCTATTGCCATACATCAGTCACAATTCCAAATATCATGCTTACAAAAACATATGAAAAGATGAAATTAAAATATAATACAATAACTACGGTATAACGGAGTGACTAGAATTCAAGGGGTGAATAGAACCACCACAGATGGGGCCCAATAGGGCTGACGCCGATACGGAGCTGCGAAAGGCTTAATGGGTTACCGGGGCTCCGGTTCGAAGCCCAGGAGTAGGAACAGGGTGGTTTTTTAAAGTCTGACATGGATCTCGCCTCTCCCAGGCGGGAGAAGTCATTGGACGATTTTCCCCCTCAAAAAAAGGGGTGTAAATAGATGTTAGAATACTTTCCAACATAAGTTCACCCCTGTTCTGTATCTATTCAGTCTTTGAATTGTATTCACCCCTTTATACGGTATTTAAGAAAGCCATGCAAATGAAATGAATGATTAAGATGTGTTAATATGAATATTTTTAGAATGCACACATGCTTTTTAACAAACCGAAGGTAGATATACAATGTAAAGGTCCCTTCATCGCCGGGAGCATTTGCGTGTAATGTAACGTTACAGATCTGAGCATTATAGTAGGGGAGCCCATGAAGGGATTTCGGTAGTTACTCGAGCGCGTCAGATTAACATATGGGGAAAACCTAGTGTCATGTTGAATATACCCAACATATATCCGATCTCATCAGAAGGGGGGGACTGAAAATTAAAAAAAAAGTCTGACTAAATAAAGTCAGTTTCGTCAGATTAAGGGAAGGTAGGTCAATACCGTGCTAAAGGAAGTGCGTTTAAAAAATCTGCCCATTCCAACTTGATTTGCAAGAGTGGGGGGATTTTGAAGGGTTCTCGTTTGTACTCTCCAGAACATTCAACCCCACCATGCAAACTGGCAGATTAAGAGTTTTTTATTATTAAATACACATGGAGCATGTACATTATCAATATCTGACACGCTCGACCACTAGAACAAAAGTTACGCTTAACAATTTCAAAGATCTGTAGATTCCCCCTTCCCCCACTGGTGGAAGAAATTGTCACTAAACCATTTCTTCTTTCTATCAGCATATCTTCAAAATCCAGTAGGTCCCAAGGACGCTCAAGTAAATCCCAATTTAGCATCGTGGGCTCCCCTACTATTACATCAGTGAAGGAGAAGAACCGAGCATTACAATGCGGACCTTGTAATGATACAATGTTTATTTTTTTTATGGAATAGGAGGCAAACGAGCTGACGGATCACCTGATGGTAAGCGATCAGCGCTGACCATAGACACCCGCAACACCAGAGGAGTCACAGGTGCGTTGTCGGCCTTTAATATCCCGTAATATCTTGATACAACTTTTAGCTACAATGCACTCCAATTCCCCCAGTCAGGTCCAGTCAGTCGCCTACGTGACAGTGAAGTGAGCTTTGTCATATAGTGTTTTAGACGCTTCGGAGATTTTTTTCGCAAATGCTCGTTAGTCAAGGAGGTATTATTGTAATATAATGTCGTGGTGGCCCGGAGGTTTAAGACGCCCGCTTCTCATGCATGAGGACGCGGCTTCGAAACCTACCAACGGCAAGTCCCAATTTGTCTTTTTCCGAGTTATATGTACTTTCTAAGATTATTGAGACACCACTGACAAACGATGAAGGAAAACATCGTGAGGAAACCTGGGCTTATAATTTCCAATTATAAGTTTGTAATCGCCAACCCGCATTGAGCAAGCGTGGTGATTAATGCCCAAACCTTTTCCGTGTGAGAAGAGGATTTGCTCAGCAGTGGGCTGTTGATGTGATGATGATAATGATTGCTCACAGTCGAATCTATACACGCGAATGCTTCGGTGAGGGAGCACCTTTATATCTAGTTGTTAGTGTCCCATGTAGTTAGAGATGGATTAAACTTAGAGAGCGCCCTAGCACCTCACAGGCGCCCCTACTTTTATTTGGCGCCACCGCCATCTATGGACAGTTGTGCACGCGTTTCGCCACGCCCCTCTTTAACCTGAAGCCCTACACACTTGCCGACTTTGCCTTACGGCTCCTCATGCAATGAAAGTGTAATATTACCCCTTTATCACCAGTAATGTTATTAACCTGCTTGTATAAGTCACTTTATTGATAAAAAAAAACAATAAAATACATACATACATAACATCACGCCTTTTATCCCCGAATGGGTAGGCAGAGGTGCACATTACGGCACTTAATGCCACTGTACGTAGCACCCACTTTTCACTATTTATGTTATGAGTCTCATGTAATAGGGGGTAAACCTATTGCCATATACCGGGCACATTTCCAGACTCCGTGCTACGACTGAGATTTTTTTTTTAAAAACCCAGTAATTCTTTGCCCGACCCGGGAATCGAACCCGAGACCCATTGTCCGGCCAACGAGGTAGTCACATTAAAATACATTTCATTTAATTCCATACCTGAACCCATAAACATGTTTCAATCAAATTAACCATTATTCTATATTAAAATAAAACATCCAGATTCAATAACAAAAGATCACCAGAAACTATTAAAATTTTTCATAAAAAATAATAAGTACATATCCGAAATTCCATTCCTTCCTACATACCTAATAAAAAAAACAAAACACCGTATCATTCCTTCTAAAAATATTAAAATTACAGTCAAATTTTGTACTATAATTTCTACCAAAACACAAAAATAATTGAATCTACTCTCATGCATACTATCTATAATTTTGTTTATCGAAGCGGCCATTTTGAGAATTTTGACGTCCATTCTTCCTTCATTATATAAAAACACCACACGCATTCAATTTATCGATGGGATAGGAGCAAACGAGCAGACGGATCACCTGATGATAAGCGATCGACAACCGCAAAACCAGGTGCCTTTAGCCAAACGCCACTTTAGCGCTTGCCTACAGAGAGAGAGTAGAAAACTAAATGTATGGGGATGACACTGACAAGTGTCAAAATTTACGTCAATCCCATATAATTTGGTTTTCTATTCTACATGTAGACAAGCGCTAAGTGGCATTTGGCTATAGCTGCAGAGGCGTTACAAGCAGCAATTGGGTAAAATTTATAAATAGACCTCAAATACATACTTCTTTAGTTCACTTACATGGCATTCATAATAAAAACGAGCTGGTTAAGAGGACCGAGACCAATTTTTTTATGGAATAGAGGCAAACGAGCAGACGGATCACCTGGAAGTAAGCGATCATCACCGCCCATAGACACCAAAGGAGCCACAGGTGCGTTGCCGGCCTTTTAAAAAGGAATACGCTCTTTTCTTGAAGGTTTGAAGGTCGTATCGGTTCGGAAATACCGCCGACGACAGATCAATCTACAGTTTAGCTGTGCGAGGCAGACAGTTCCGGGAAAAGCGCACAGTTGTGGCCTGCCAACCATCTATATGATGGGGATGAAAATGCTGTCGTAAGGTGCGATGGCGAACAGACGCGGCAGCTATCAGACTAAATAAATCCTCAGAATACTCCCCGTAGTATAAGCGATAGAAGATGCACAGTGACGATTTTTACCCACGCCCGCCCCAGTTGCGGGCCTTAAGCTACATCTCTACACATTGCCAAAGTCTAGCCAGTTTGAAAACTATATTTTCTGAAGGATCAAGTCACACACTGGGTTCATAAAATATGGATACCCCACATCAAAAAGGGACAGAGATGTACATCCACTAAGTACCAAGTTTTTAGGACATTGACTTAGAAATGAAATCAAAAATATAAATCAACGACACTTTTACAAAAAAGTCTCAATTTTTCATTTTTCTCTAGAATTATATTTTATTTTATTTTTTATTTTCAATTATGTCATGTGTGTTCTGCGCAAAAATAAATTGTTTTTCTTTCTTCTTCTTTCTTTCTTTCTTTTATACATCGCACACACAAAAATAGAAGTCAGAAATTCTCAAAAAAACGTACCACTTCGACGCACAAATAATTAATGCACAAGGAATTTTGAAAAACAAATTACCTTTCCTCTTTAAAAATTTATTCGAACGTCTCACTAGAACCTTTTTATCCCCGACCTTGCGTACAGTGTTGCCAGTTTTCGCTGGGATTTTTCTCATGGCAACATTATTCTTTTTTTTATTCGCCGGTACCGAACGTTTTTTGATGCGCGATGCAAGCGGTAGTGATGTTTTCGAAACTTTAGCTAAAGGTGAATTGTTTTGTGTTAGTTTTTTTTAGAGATGATGAACGAAGCTGTGAAACGTTATTGCAAGATTATTTTGAGACAGTATTATTATCGACACAGAGGCGGAATAAACCTTGAGAGCGCCCTAGGCAAGTCTTTTTTATGGGTAAGCCGGTAAACGAGCAGACGTATCACCTGATGGTAAGCAATCGGCGTCGCCCATGGACACCCGAAACACCAGGAGCGTTACAAGTCGGGTTCTGGGAATTGGGAATTTGAGGATTGTGGGGGATTAATTGGACTAATTGGGCCTCCGGTAACCTCACTCACTCGATGAAACACAACGCAAGCGTTTTTCACGTCGGTTTTCTCTGAGGCCGTGGTATCACTCCGGTGAAGCCGGCCCATTCGTGCCGAAGCTTGTCTCTCCCACACCTAAGTACCTCATAGGCGCCCCAATTTCTTTTGGCGCCGCCACCAATCTATGTACAGTTGAGCACGCGGCTCACCTGTGACCTGGCGCCCAGCACTTGCCTAGTTTGCCTTAGGTATAATACAGCTCTGTGTTGACAGCTTGCTTCACTGGCAAACTACCTCCTTATTTAATTATTATAAATCATATATTTCTCACTTTCTGAAGGCATTTCCATCCTTTAAAGTGAAATTACATTATCTGTGTAGGCTGCATGTAAATAAACCATATAAAAGAAAAACAATACACCGCGAACAATAGGGTAGTATCCTAAATTTTATTTTAATGTCCGTCTGGTAGATTATTTTAAAACATTAGACACGTATTTTTTCTTTTCCCACAAAATTAAATACTTTCGGACGATATATGGCAAAATTATTCACAAATTAAAATATAATTATACCTATAAGATTAAACTAAAAATAATATTATGATTTTTTTTGTATCTTATACCACGACGGTGGCAAAAAAACTCACGGCCCACCTGATGGTAAGCGGTTACCGTGGCCTATGTACGCCTGCAACACTTGGGGCATTACATGCGTCTTGCCGACCCTTAAGAAACCTATTCACTCCCCTCTTGAAGAACCCCAAGAACATAAATACATAACTAAAACTTAACATATTTAAACTTTAAAAAAAAAACACGATTTATTGATTTGAAGATATCGTTTGACTCCTAAACTTAACTCCGTTTTATCTAAGTACTAGCTTTTGCCCGCGACTTCGTACGCACAACCCCGATATTTCCCGATCCCGTTCTTGATTTTCGGTCAAAAGTAAAAAAAAAAGTATTGGGTAAAAAGTATCCTATGTCCTTCTCCTGGTGCTAAGCTATATCCTTACCAATTTTCATCCAAATCGATTTAGCCATTCTTGAGTTATAAATAGTGTAACTAACACGACTTTCTTTTATATATATAGATATAGATTGTTTTCTTAAACGACAAAATAAAAAAATACGTGTCTAATATTTTTTCATTATCTAACTGACGGACTAATTAGAAATTTTTAATTTTCATACACGGCCTACTACCCTATTTGAAACACGGTTGTACTGTGAAATCAATCTTAAATAGTCTTGCAATAACGTTGGAAATATTAGTGTCTGCAATGACATATTATGCTAGAACAGAGCAAGAAAGCACAAATAATAGGACACACTGCAGAAAAATTTGAAAATGATTTTTGTTCGATTCATAAATGGGGCTCCGAACCGCCCTTTTTTTAACCTGACGCTTTAGTACGAGTTTAATTTCCGTTTAAAGTATTCGTAACGAGTTCGCGTTCGGCACTCTGATTGGCCGGCGCCAATGAACCAACCAATCAGAGCGCCGAATGCAGTCACAAGCGTTTTTTCACGTCGGTTTTCTGCTCAGCCGTGGTATCGCTCCGGTCGAGCCGGCCCATGGCAATGAAGCATGGCTCTCCCACACTTATTTTGTATGTTTTTTATGTATTACTTGTTTTACGTTAATTAATTCTTGCTTGCTTGCTCCATTCTTGCAAAATGCAATGTTAAAATATTTATAATCAGTATCACACTTCTTCACACAAGGCTCGGAAAATAAACTTTTAAAATCACGTCGAATTCCAGAATTAGTGAAATTAGACCATAAATCAATATGTACAAGTGCTAAAACCCCTTTAAATTAGGTACTTGCCAACTAGTCAAATTCAATACTTTTTTCGAACTGTCAAAAACGACAGTTCTCTATGAATTTTGTACGAGATTGTGTATTGTGACGTCACGTTTTTTTAGCGTCAAACAGCATAGTTATTTATTAAAAAATTTGCTGTAAAAATACTGAAATTAAGTTGATCATAAAATCAATCAATGAAAGTTTGATTACTTTTTTAATAGATATTTTATTGTATTGAACAGTCGAAATAATTTACTTTTGATTAAGGAAAGTACCCAATTTTAATATCATATTAGTTACACACAATAGTATACATATTGATGAGTGCATGTTCCCCGTAGGGGTAGACAGAGGTCCACATAATATACAATGTAACACCCACTTTTCATCAGTCCTATTATGAGTCTCATATAATAGAGGGTGAGTTTTAAACAAAGCACAATTCATGGCATTGCACAATTCTTGAACTGGATAACAAACCCAATATATCTGTTGACCACAGATCTTCTTCTTTCCAAATTATCATTTATATACATAAGTTTTAGTTTTTATAACACCCTATACATAAAAATAAAAAAAATACATACCTCCTGTAGCTCGGCGTTTATACTCCCGTTTGGCTTTTCTCTCCAAAGCTTCTGTGAATAAAAAATAATAACAATTGAAAAACAAAAGAAAAGTACAGAAAAAAAGACATTACCTCACTTCTCCCAGCATATAAGAAAGAGACAGAAATATGCATCTTTTTGATTACTTATTTGCCTCAAAATCTAAATATGTTCAACTGGACAATCTCTACATATGCTGTGAACATTAGCTCATGACGATACCTAAGTACGTGTGTCGTTGACAAGTCAACCTCGCTACCATCAGTTGACTGGACAATACACTACATGAGCTGATTACATGTGAACATTAGCTCATGACGATACCTATACTCGGAATTTTAATTCGATTCCAGATTTGACAATTTCATTGTTGCGACGTTATGACAAGTACTAAATAGTGACGTTGCGAAATTATTCGATATGGAAATGCAATATTTCTGGATCGATTGTCCTCGTTTATAATTTTACTCTTGTAAACTAAATATATCAGGAAATTAAATATTTCTGAACCGATAATTTAGTTTTGACGATTAATTAATGATCTGAGACTTTTCTTTTATAATTGTGTGTGAAATAAATAAAAAATGTAATCATGAAGGAACATGACAATCTCATGACGATCTGGAATCTAATTAAAATTCTGACTGTAAGTACGTGTGTCGTTGACAAGTCAATATCGCTACCATCAGTTGACTGGACAATACACTACATGAGCTACTATTTAAAAGGCAAAATATGCATGCATGCATGTTAAAAAATTTATATGTAAAGCGACATTCAAGCATGAATTAAGCTAGGATTAATTATCTTCTCTGCTTAGTCCTCTAAGATATTTAGCGTAATTTTATATAGCCTATAGTCTTCCCTAAGAATAGTGCTATCAGATGTAAAAAGAATTATTCAGATCAGACAACTACTTGCAGAGATTTAAGCGTAAAAACAAACTGTGTAATTATTATTATTACAATTTCGAACCAGATCATTGACAGCGAGTTAGATCATTGACAGAGTTTAGGAGTGGGAGGTTGTTACGTCATAACGTGCTACAAAATGTGACACGCTGTGACGTCACATGATATTTCAAATCAATATATCGTAGAAAGTATTTAATTGTGAGAGAAAAGAAAAAAATACGTGTCTAAAGTTTTAAATTAATGTAGTATGTACCAGACGGACATAAAATTAAATTTAGGAAACTACCCTATTTTCTGCATAGGACCATGATAACAAACAAAGAAGTTACAGAACAAAGTAATCTAATCCAGGGCAAAAGATTAATAGAAATATAATAAAGAGAAAAAAAATCTACTGGATTTTAGTAGGAAAATACAGGCAACATTTACTTTTTTGTATATTTTGGAACATGCAATCTTTAAAACCTACTAAAAATTGGGAGTTTTAGTACAAAATCTACCGTTTTTAATATTTTGGTCATGCAATCTTGAAACTTACCTTCGGGTGATGTGGTTCCATCTGATTGGCAAGGAAAGAGAGAAAGAAATATTCAATCACATTTAGGGATAGGCAGAGGTCCAAATATGCAATAACATCCATTTTTACCAGTTATGTAATCACATGTGTTAGGGCCGATTATTTCAGCGTCAGATAAATTTTAACTGAGGAACTAACTTTGAATATTTGACAGTTCCTCCATACTAAACACTATCAAATATCAATCTTATTTTGAAAAATAGTTACATTTTCATTCATTGATTTGTCGATATACTTCATTTTTTATTTATTCTAGCATTTTTTTTAGATATAACTGTGCTATTTGAGGCGAAAATATGATGACGTCATAAGATGGTATTTCGTACAAAATTCATAGAACACTATCTTTTTTGACGTTCCGATAAAAGTATTGAATTTGACTAGTTGTCAACTACAGTATTAACTGAGAATTGAAAAATCGGCCCTAAGTGTAGTTGCTTTTTACTAATAATAATTCATCTATATCTATGTATGTTTGTTTTACGCGTACCTACATATATCACAAATGGCCTATGTCCAGCAGAGGACGAATACAGGCTGATGATGATGATAGCACAAAAACTGAAGAACAAAATTTAACGCAGTTTTCCACTGCTAACATAACATAACATCACGCCTTTTATCAGCGAAGGGGTAGGCAGAGGTGCACATTATACCACTGTACAATGCAACACCCACTTTTCACTATTTATGTTATGAGTCCCATGTAATAGGGGGTGAGCCTTTTTCACTGCTACTTTAGATAAAATTAAAGTAATTACAGGACATTTTGATACGTATAAAACCCCCGACAGAAGCTAAAATTATATATACACAAAAAATATACACACACTTAAAAATATTTACAAAAAATACCGTGAATTATTTACAAAAAAAAAGTGGTTAGTAACAACATCACACCTTATAATCACCGAAGGGGTACACAGAAGTGCATATATACAATATAAAATCCACTTTCCACCATTCTGTTATGAGTCCCATATAATGCGAGACCCAAGTTAGTAAGTTAGTACAGTAAGCCAATAGCAAAAAACAAAAAAAAAACCGTGAAAAATAAACAAAAAAAAAACAAAAAATTTACCTAACTCCCTAGCTCTTTTTCTAGCTAGGTATTCTGGGCTCGTTTTGTCCACACGTGGACGTCCACGCTTACGTTTCTCCCCACTTTCCGGGGTCCGACTATTCATCATTGCCGCTGAAAAAAAGAAATTAAGAGAAAAAAAAAACATAAGAAAAACAAAAAAGAAAATAAAAAATAATTCGCAATGGTTGGCTCCTTACATACTTCTTTAGCTTACATCATATATTTTTAAAAAGTTTTTTTTCCAAGACATAAGGTTAGATATTTATAACCAATTTCAGAAAGGCTGAAATATTTACAGATCTAACTGCAAAATTACTTCTACATATTTAGTTCCATAAACGGTGGCGTCCTATGGCCATATACAGGCGCACGTTTAGACACCACTGACAAACGCTGAAGGGAAACATCGTGAGTAAACCTGGGCTTATAATTCCTATATATAAGTTTGAAATCACCAACTCGCATTGAGCCGAGAAAGCGTGGTGATTTAATGCTCATACCTTTTCCGTGTTTTTTTTCATAGCATAAGCCGGTAAACGAGCAGACGAATCACTTGATGGTAAGCAATCGGCGTCGCCCATGGACACACGAAACACCAAGGCGTTACAAGTGCGTTACCGGCCTTTTGGAAATTGGGAATTTAAGGATTGTGGAGGATACGGGTATTCGGGAGACTAGGTAGTCTAGGGAGGGGTAATAGGGCCTTCGGTAACCTCACTCACACGACGAAACACAACGCAAGCATTGTTTCACGTCGGTTTTCTGCTCGGCCGTGGTATCACTCCGGTCGAGCCGGCCTGTTCGTGCCGAGTGCGAAGAGACCTTTGCTCAGCAGCGGGCACTTATAGGCTGTTGATAATGATGATGATGAATAAAAAGTAAGGGTGCTTACCCATTTCTTTGGCTTGTTTTCGAGCTGCGAGATTGGCCAGATATTCAGGGCTGGTCTTGTCAACTCTTGGACGACCACGCTTTCTTTTGACAGGCGTGGGAGGCTCACTCGATTCAGGAGTGTAGGAACTCGCTGTAAATGAATACTTTTATAATAACTATCGTGAGACATATTAAGTTAACTAAACATCGCGGGTTACTCACGTGAATATACTGAGAAAAGCCGAGCCACAGAGGGATTCTTCCTCATGAACAGCTTTCAAGGTCACGGCGATGTCGTGCAGCCTACGAGCAGCCAGTAGACGATAACAGCTATTAGATTTTTTCTCAGTATTCTCACGTGAGTAACCAGCGACTTTTAGTTAAATCTATATATCTATGTAAATAAAAATCAATTTCTGTTCGTTAGTCTCGCTAAAACTCTAGAACAGCTTAACTGATTTGGCTAATTTTGGTCTTGATAGGTTCATGGAAGTCTAGGGAAGGTTTAAAAGGTGAGAAAAAACGTTTAGGCGATACGAAGTTTGCCGGGTCAGCTAGTCATATATATAAAAATGAATCCCTTTTTCCCTTGGTCACGGCATCACCGGTGAATGGGTGGACCGACTTCACTAATTATTTTTTGTTGTATTTGTTATTATTAAATTAGGAACGGGAGGAAACGGGATTGCGCGTACGAAGTCGCGTGCAGAGGCTAATTAATATTATAAACACACCAATATGTGTAGGGCGGCAAAAGTGCAGACGGATTACCTCGGCTAAGCAATCGGCGCCGTCCTTGGACATCCGCAATACTAGAGAAGTTACTAGTGTTGCCAGCCTTTGTGGGGTTATGAATTTGTGGAATACGGATTTGGGGAGGGGAGGTAGGACATACAAGTACTCTCTCTGACGCGACGATACACAACGCAAGCGTTGTTTCATACTGGTTTTCTGCTCTTTGATGGTATCATTCGGCCCATTCGTGCCGAAGCATGGCTCTCACACTTATAAAGCCTGCGCAAAAGCTACAACATCTATCTTAGAAGGCTGCTGGCGTTAAGCGGATGAGTCAAGGGTCTGATAGAGAAGGCAGTTCCTTGAAACGGCGCACGTCGTGAGAATATTTCTGCCTCTGGAGCCCTAACCACCGGTAGCTTGAACAGTGGACTATGCCCCCGATACTGGGCACCTCTCATTTTCAAACATTTAAATAAAAGTTCTAATCTATATAAATAAAAAATAATTTCTGTTTTTTTTATATGTGGCATAAACCGGTAAAGGAGCTGACGGATCACCTGATGGTAAGCAATCGGCGTCGCCCATGGACACCTGGAACATCAGAGGCGTTACGTTACCGGCCTATTGGGGATTAGGAGTTTGAGGATCGTTGTAGATTCAGGAATTGGGGAGATTGGGGAAGGGGAGGGTAATCGGGCCTCCGGTAACCTCACTCACGCGACGAAACACAACGCAAGTATTGTTTCACGTCGGTTTTCTGTGAGGCCGTGGTATCACTCCGGTCGAGCCGGCCCATTCGTGCCGAAGCATGGCTTTCCCACACACTTCCGTTCGTTAGTCCCGCTAAAACTCAAGAATGGCTGAACCGAATTGGCTAATTTTGATCTTTGGATGTTCGTGGAAGTCCAGGGAAGGTTTAAAGGTGAGAAAAATGTTTAGACGGTACGATTTTTGCCGTGTCAGGTATTAAATAAATGAATATTGCTCACCGCTACTTATAGGTTCTTGTTTGGCTCTCGGCGCGTACAGCTCTGGCGGAACGAAGTGAGAGACTGGCGATCGGTAGTCGACGGTCAGTGGCAACCCGCTAGGCACTGCGGCAGACACAGGTTGAATTAACCAATAGGATGAGGTGTCTGGCAGTGATCTGGCGTGCGATGACAGAAATACATTACCGTGGCGTAGTGGCGACGACCCTCGACGTGGGTGCAGGCGACCCACGCGACACATACGAGTGTGGCTTAAATGTATAAAACCGATATGCTTCTGGAGCGCCACGACACGGTAATGTGTCTTCGACATAATGCTGCTTAATTTGGTATAATGAGTTTGGATGTATGAATGAAAGGACGTATAGTCAATTTTAAGATCTATGTAACTAGAGAATTGTATTGTAAACCCGATTGAAAAAGAGTAACCTATGGAGTTTCTTGCTCGTTCTTCTCCATAGGAATCTACACCTTGGAATGAGCAAATAGCTTCACTTCTAAATTTTTTTGTTGTTGACGTTCTAAAGTGCCTTCCTGGTCTAATTGAAATAAATGATTTTGACTTTGATCACTCGAAATCGGATGAATGACTGAATGGGTCTGGATGAAATTGGGTGAATGAATAGATTGTGGTCTGAAATATAACATTGGCTATTTTCTTTATCTCTAGACGCATAAAATGTACATGTCGCTAGATAAATCTCTACGCTACTTAAGCTGCTATATTTATTTTTTTAAATAGTCCAATGCTGGATTATGCTCGGACCTCTACAAAAGAGGTTGTCATTATCTCAACCCATGGAGAACGCAGTTTAAACGCACCAGAAAAGGATTAATAGTAGCCTATGTGACTTATACCAATACACACAGCGCCATCTATACCAATACTTTCGTTTTCCCTCGGGAATATCAAATTTTTCCGGGATAAAAAGTATCCTATTATTTAATCCGGACTTCTAACTTTACGTCTGTAAAAATTCAAAGCAATCGGTTTAGAGGTTACGGCGTGAAAGCGGAACAAACAAACAAACTCACTTACTGATTTATAACATTAGTAAGGATTGACGTAAATTTTGACACTTGTCAGTGTCATCCCCATACATTTAGTTTTCTACTCGCTCGGTAGACAAGCGCTAAAGTGGCGTTTGGCTAAAGGCACAGGTTTTTTAGAGAGAGCTGCAGCCTAGCCTGCAGTTCCTTAGTCGGGTATGTGACACCCACGGGAAGAGTAACGGTGGTAAACAATATAACTATACTCTGTTAAGAATGGGAAGAGTAATGGTGATGAATATAGAGATACTGTCATAGAAACATATGTTTTCTTACCTTGATTTAACCCATATAATTCTCCATTATGATCCATTTTGGGCTTCTTATCAGGGGTCGGTTTCTGACTGCCTTCACTGTTCGGCGATTCTTCCCTCTTCAGCTGAGGCAATGCAGAGTCCAGCTGACTCTCACACAACGCCATAATTAATTGATTATTCTTCTTTATTCAGTTGCGGTCGGTTTAGCTGAAGGTATTAAAGGGATTTTATTAGTTACGGTTAATTACTTGTTTATATTGTAACTTTCGTGAGACATCTATACTAATATTATAAAGAGGAAAGATTTGTATTTTTGTATGTTTGTAATGAATAAACTCAAAAACTACTGGACCGATTGCAATAATTTTTTCACCATTAGAAAGCTGCATTATTCAGAAGTAACATAGGCTATATAATATCACGCTAGGTCCTATAGTTGTGGAGCAGTAACCAAAAATGTTTTAAAAACGGGGGAAAAGTATCGTTTCTGAGGCCTTCCGTGGCGTGCGCTGAGCATATAGTTAAAGTTATACAAAAATGCTCTATAGATGAATTGTTCATCTTAACATTATTTTTAAAAAAGTCCGCGAGAGCATATGTCTACCTTTTATAGTTTACCCATAACAATCGTTTTAATGAATGGTTCAATCCTTATAAAAGTTTGCTCTAGATAACTTTTGAATTGTTCAATCGGTTACCTTAAGACTATTAATTCATCCAAAAGATACCTATTAGGTAAGTACTTACCTACTATTTCAAAAATAATAAACTGAGAATAAATATAAATAAAACGTAAAACTATGTAAAAAATCTTAAGTCCCCCCGTGCGAAGCCGGGACGGGCCGCTAGTATTTAATAAGAAAAAAAGGCTACCCGTGTGAAAATTTCGATAATTATAATCCGAAATGTGAAGAGACTATCAAAAAATACTTCTTATTTTGCATAAGCCTTTGACTGCCAATAGAAAACTATTTTCAAGGACTCATAATAGTATTTAGTTGCATCAGGATTATAAATTTTAAAGATAAAATATAAATTTAATTGTCTGAATACATTTTATTCATTGGCTAGCTTGCCCACGGCTTCGATTGCGCTCTTTTAGAGTATTGAGGGCAGGTTTACAAAAGATAAAAAGAAAATATAGTTAACAAGTTTTTGCTGGTCACAATAATACCGATTATTTGCATTCTATTATGAAAATTAGGAAATACAAACATCCATTCCGTCCTCTTTTTTAGGGGAGTGGTGGATTAGAAAGAAACAAGAAGTAGCCTATGTTACTCTCCATCATTTCAACTATCTCGATCTCCACTAAAAAAAAACACATTAGCTCCATTCTGTCATGAAAGACGGACGAACAAACACACAAATTGTTAATATTAATAATAGATTCCTATAATATGTGACATTATTTTGACAAGTGTGTTTCATGGCAATGGATGGTTGATATTTTTTTTGTTATCTTGATATAACATTAATATATATAGTATGCAAAGAATAATATACTTGAAAGCAGTCTAAATTTTAAAAATATTTTCAGTTAACGTAAAATCGTATTTTTTCATACAATAATAATAATTTCATACAATAAAATAAATTACACAGGTCTTTTTTAAGGGGGAAAATCATCAAATGATTGCTCCCGCCTGGGGCGCCGCCTGAGGCGGGAGGGAGTGTCAGACTCCAGACTTTTACTGACTAAAAACCACCCCGTTTCTACTCCTGCACTTCGAACCGGAGCCCCGGTACCCTTTAGGTTCTCCGCGACAAAAATTTTACACAGGCCTAACCACTAACATAAGTCAGTTCTTGAAAACCCAAAGTATTTTATTTAATCGTCATTTTATTCTGATGATATTTGCTACACAGCATTGGAATTAACCTTGAAAAATACATATTGAGAAATCTAAATTCTGCCAGAAGTCATTATTATACGCGCATAAAGTCGCGGGGCACAGCTAATTATTTACACATTTATATGGTACGAGCAAATAAATACTCAAATTTAAATAATCTTTGTCTTTGACCTTGGATTTAATATGTATGCAACGTACCTATTTCTTTTATTATCCTCTTATTATTCAAAAACTGTGTTTAAACTATACTAGCATTAGACCGCGGCTTATCTTTGCACAACGTATCAAAATCCACATTTTCTCATTACAGTAACACTTCTTAACATTCTAGAAAAGAGAAGAGATAATTTCTTTGTTTATATTTTCCAAATAACTTTTTCTTTTATGTGATAAGCTGATATACGAGCAGAGAGATCACCTGATGGTAAGCATTCGGCGCCGCCCATGGAGCACCAGGGGCGCTACAAGTGCATTACCGGCTTTTGGGCATAAAGATTAAAAAAAAAAAAAAAAAAAAAAAAATCAATCCAGGTTTCCTCACGATGTTTTCCTTCACCGTTTGTCAGTAGTGTCTAAATAATCTTAGAAATTAATAGGTATATATATAACAAGGAAAAAGTCACATTGGTACTTGCTGTTAGTAGTAGTAGTCCAGGCCACCATGACAGTACAAACGGTAAAGGAAAGCATCGTAGAAAGAAACCTGGGCTTATAATTTCTAATTATGTATAAGATTGAAATCGTCCACCAGCATTGAGCAAGCGTGGTGGTAAATGCTCAAACCTTCTTCGAGTGAGAAGAGGCCTTTGGTCACCAGTGGCCACTTATAGGCTGTTGATGATAAAGCTGATGATGGTAATAAGAGCAAGCCTATTGTCATACAAGGGGTTACATTACCAGACATATTTCGAGCTATACAATTGCATAACGCCAGACACACTACCAGACTCCTAGGACTAGGACTAGGGAGAAATAGGGTAGATGCCTAATTTTTATTTTAATGTCCGTCTGGTAGATTATTTAAAACATTAGACACGTATTTTTTATTTTCTTACAGAAACGAATACTTTCGACGATATATTGATTTGAAATGTCACGTGACGTCACTTCTATGTACATTTTATAGTTAGAAATGACGTTTTAACCCCCACTCCTAAACTTTGATTCGTTATATCTAAGTATCGTTTTATTATACGACAAAATAAAAAAATACGTGTCTAATATTTTTTCATTACCTAACTGACGGACTAATTAGATTTTTAATTTTCATACCCTGTCCCATACGAATCCCAATTATTGAAAAATTCTACAATACTTTAACCTGACTCGGAATACGACCACATACACTTGTCAACTAGCTTTAACTAAGTGAGCCCCAAACCTGACCCAGCCCCTTAAAATACAAACAGGTTAAGTATGTACCTGTTTATTCTTAAGGGGACTGTTAGGTAATTCTTATACTTGTATTGTCAAAATGCAACAATAGGACACCGACCCTACACTACTAGGACCGTATCTTCACCTGTTGTGCAACAGGTATCAAGTTACAATTTTTTTATTTGTTAAGCCTGTTAATGAGCTGACGGATCACCTGATGGTAAGCAAACGCCGCCCATGGACTCTTGAAACACTTGTAATAGGGGGTCAGTATTTTTTTTTTACTATTGTAACAAGCCCGCCACAACCTCCCAAAACCGCTGCAACTCCTGTAAGCCAGGATCTACAGTAGATACAACCATGAAAACACCGGAACATTGAAGTCCGGCGCGTCGCAGGGACATGAGTAACTGTCTTGGTTCCCGCAACAAGGTGAATCAGAAGATATTATAAGAGGAGAAGAAGAAAAAACTATAGTTTCCACTTCCCTCGGTGAATTACTGCAGGAGACAGAATGAATTAAGCCTAAAGACACAAAGAAGGGACTGTACAAATGGGTGAAGCCCAGTCGCCAAGCACCACGGAAATTTGACTAAAAACTAAGTGGGTCCTACGTGTGAGCTGTTATACTTGCTTCCAATAATAGGGGGTGAGTCTATTGCCATATACCGGGCACAATTCCAGACTCCGTGCTACTAACTACTGAGAATATTACTACTACTACTATGAAAATTAAACAAACATAACATCACGCCTTTTATCTCCAAAGGGGTAGGCAGAGGTGCAAATTACCGCACTTAATACCACTATATAAT